CTGCTAAGTGGGAGCCGGTGTGACAGTGAGGGTCCCGCAGAGCATGTGGGAGCCAGCGAGGAATGTGGGGTATTTGGGCATGCCGCAAGTCCACCCAGCCAAACTCTGGCTTCAGAGGCTGTGCAATTCCTAATTACAGCCCATCAGCTCCAACCAGCAGCCAACATATGGTTCAGTGAGAGGGTGGGTGGGTCAAAAAACACTGAGGGCTGTGGGTGTTTCTCCTAGTGTTTCACGGTGAACTATCAAAATAATCTTCTTAAGGCTTGGATTTATTACATGTTTCTTTTCTATCTCCTAGCCCCATAATTTTTAAAAAATATGGTAGAAAATATTTTCTAAAGTAAAAAGATACGGATGAAAAAGGAGGTTACAAAATGAACACATTATATACACCAGTAAGTACACACACACACACACACACACACACACACACACAGAGTCAGTATAGTAATACTGACAGTCTGTGAGAATGAAAAGATACGAGAACCCCATAATTTTTGAGTAACATTAAAAATACAAGATCTTGTATATAATAAGTGCCCAGTAAATACCGAATAAGGCCATGAGTGACAATTAGTATCTGGGAAAGATTTGGAGTTACCCCAGAGAAAAGGATTCATTGATTGACTCCACCTAATTTAGAAATTCATGATTTTTTCAGTGGCATGGTGTGCTTCCTATTTAGTTGAACAAACAAAGGATTTAGTCAGTGAAACTTCAACATTTTTCAAGCACCCCGGGCTATTGGCAGAGCTCGCAATTTATATTTCAGCGACTAAGAATATTAATTTAAATGTGACATCCTACGTCTCCAGCTCCTTCTTACTACGCACCTCTGTCCTCTGGGCTCCTATCCACAATAACATCACCTATTATCTCTTCTGGAGGAGAATCACATTTGTTTCATAACAGGCTTGTATTTATTAGGGAGTGGTGGACATTCTGCCTTCAACAATCAAAATCAACATATCTAAACCCTGCTTGTTAAAAAGGAAAACGAAAAAACTGATCTTTCTACCCTCTTCAATATTTGCTCATGCAACAAGCCTTTCTTGGTGCCGATTAGGCCCTATATATAGATATGACATGGCCCCTGCCCTCAAGGAGCCTTCCAGGGTGACAGTCAGCAAGGCTGACAGTCCCAGTTCTGCTTGGTGCTCTAATAGTGCTCGGAGAGAGCTGTAGAGTCTGTGGGCATCACAGGCTTCCAGAGGTGGAGAGGTTTGAGCTGCAGAGGAAGGAGGGAGGAAGGAGTTCCCTATTTCTGCTAATCACTTATCAAGCAATCGAGCAAACTTTTATTGAGAAATTATATGACTATATGCCAAGCACTGTGCTCATTCTGGAGACTCAAAGACCAGTGAGACAATTCCTGCCAGCAAAAGGCTTTGTATGGAGCTATAAAAGTTGGTACTGCCATTCTCTCTGGCACCATGGAGAACCTGACTCTTCTGGGTACCTTGGTGATTTCTGACTTCCCTTCCAGCACGTGGTCTTTACTCTTTTCAACCTTCTCCATTCTTATTATATCCTGAAGTCAGAATACACCTGGACTCGAAAAGATGCTTTCTAACCTGGTTCCCTTACTCACCCCATCAACTGGCGTTTTTGCTGCATCATCCCTGCTACATCACAGCTGCCAGCTGCCTCAACACCTCTCAGAGTTTCCTACTGTCTATGGGGCAGAATCCAGGGCCATACACATTCTGGCCTTCAAGGGTTGCAGATGGCCTCTGCATGAATTAGAAAAAGCCACCCATTTGAGGCTCAACTAGGCAAGGAGATTTTGCATGAATAAAAAGTAACCTTTTCCTCCAAGTGACTTGGATTTCAGCTCCCACTCACTCACTAGCTGAGCAACTACTATATTCAGTGGCCCTGGATTTATCTTATTACTTTCATTTCTTTTGTTACTGCTTTCCTACCTTCCTTCCCAGCCAGCGGCACAAAGCTGGCATGTTCTCCCCGTGCCCAATTCCTTGTACCTTCTCCCTCTCACCAACATCTTTCTTCCAAGGCTTCTTTTGAATCTAACTCGTCTGAACTCCTGCAGAACTCATGATCTGCAGTAGTATTCAACTGGCACTTTATGCATTTGAAAATGATATATATGACAGGATTTAGTTGGTCCCATTCCCTTTATTGGACTGTGAGCTTTTAAAAAGCAGGGATCAGATGGCATCTATACATTGTTTATCCCAGAGGGCTTTCTGGAGGCTGAAGTAATGATTGATGTTGTTGATAATGGTAATGGTGACTTTAAAGAAAGATCTCTCAAAGACTTCCAATAGGTACGTGAGATTTCGTGAATGAAAGTTGAGTCAGCCTCTGGTTTGGATCCCTCATACTGAGAAGTCATATAATTTAGTTTCTTCCCAGATACAGTAGCCCTTTCATGTCTCAAAAGTGAGTTTCACCTCTCAAAAGAGGGTTTTACTCTGAGATTTTCAGAAACCCCAAATCATACCCCTGCATATCATGTTCCACCATGAGCAGTTACTTCCTGGCTAGGAATGGTCACTTCCCTGGCCCCTTGGTTTCCTCTTCACTTTCTTCACTAGCAATTGCAGGTGGTTTTTTTCCCCCCCAGCATTATGATAAAGAAACTTCAAAAGCGGCCACTGGCCAAAGAGCAAACTGAAGTTCTGCCATCGATGCAGGGTGATCTGTCAGGCTTCTGGCTGGCTGAGCCATTCCCTCCCTGTGTCCCTCCCAAAACCTAGACTGGGGTGATTTTGGTATCTTGGTAGAATCCTACATAAGTTACTACACGTCTCGATAAGGAAGAGCCTTCTCTTTTTCTGCAGTCCCCTCCACCCCTCAAGCCACACAGGAAGTTGCTCAGCTGATAGTTTCAGGGCCTCCGCCATACACTGTTCCTTACTCAACTGAGTGGGGAGAAAGTGCCTCTGTGCAAGGAGACCCTCCTTGTTTTCTCAGAACAAAGTTCACATATGCATTCGGCCCTCCGGCAGCAACCTTCTCTAAGTCTAAGAGCTCTTTCCTCTTACCTCCAATCCATTTCTTCAAGAGGTTAGACAGGCCATACATCATAGTGAACCTGCAGCCTGGGGCCTAACCCACCTTGTGCTCTTCCAAAAGAGGGAAGCCACTTCTAAAACAATTTCTTAAGGAGCCTTCACCCAACCCGAGAAGCTGGGCGTTGCCTGGGCTATTTCCCTCCTCTGCCTTGAAGCAGCGGCCAGCTAAGGGAGAACCCTGTTGCTTTATGCTCGTGCGATCTTTGGGTAGATGTGTGCACAACACCTGCTGAGCTTTGCTGTGTGCATGCCTCACCCCCAGCCCTAATCTGCCCGAGTTTCCTGGCCTTGCAAATGTTTCTATGGAGGGTCCCTCTTAGCCTCCAGTGGCTCTTGCACTCTGTAAAGTCTCCTTGAAGGTGATTCCCTACTCCTTGAAGACAACTGGTTGGGCTGGATGCCTGAATACACCTTTGGGACTTCTCTAAAGGACAAACTTATTGCATCCTTAGAGAAGTCACGAAGCTTTGCAGGCAAGCACGGAGTCTAGCTTAGAAAAGATAAGCAGGGCCAGGCGTCGTGGCTCATGCCTGCAAATCCAGCACTTTGGAAGGCCAAGGTGGAGGATCTCTTGAGCCCAGGAGTTCAAGACTAGCATGGGCAATATAGTGAGAACCTGTCTCCACAAAAAATTTAAAACTAGCCAGGCCTGGTGGTACACACCTGTAGTCCCAGGCACTTGGGAAGCCGAGGTGGGAGGATCCTTTGAGCCTGGAAGACAGAGGTTGCAGTGAGCTGAGATTGTGCCACTGCACTCCAGCCTGGTAAAAGAATAAGACCCTGTCTCGAAAGAAAAGAAAAGAAAGAAAGAGAAAAAGGAAGGAAGGAAGGAAGGAAGGAAGGGAGGGAGGGAGGGAGGGAGGGAGGGAGGGAGGGAGGGAGGGAAGGGAAGGAAGGAAGGAAGGAAGGAAGGGACAACCAGGGCCCAGGCACAGAGCCTGGAGCGGGGAAGAGATAGTGGAGTTAACTGTGAATCTTGATTGCACTAACCATAGTCTAGTGAGCAACACAGGTTTCCTTTTGAATATGAGTGGGAATCACCTTTAAAACTATATAACATTTGCACCTTCTCAAAAGCCCCAGGTCAGACTAAGATTGACTTAGGGTTACATATTAGGTCTGTTTCAAGGAGGAAACATATGGAAGCCTCAAGATGTGCAGAAGAGAGGAATGTGGGGAATATACCCAACTACTCCTCTGCTGAGGTTGGGACAGATCAGGAAAGTCCCCAGACCTCCTCTCAGTAGGCAGAGAAGTGCCAGGCCCCACTCTGGCACAGCCTGCAGACGTGGCCAGGATACCTCCATACACACAGCTTCAGAGGCAGGGGTGTCCAAGGAAGTCTTAAGTTGTATCAGAAATAAGGTCATTCGACTGACCAGTGAGGGGAGCTTTTCAGAAAGTTGTGGAAGAAGATGTGACAGACACAGGAAAGACTTCAGAAGCAAGAGGCCAACTGGACTCTAAAATGCCACTCCCTAAGAGAAAAGGGAAGCCACAGACCCACGAAGATGTGCTGGCCTCGTGCTGCCAGCTGCTTCTCTTTCACTACCCATCTCTTCAGATGCAAGGGCTTCTACCTTCTTGCAGAGTTTTTGCTCACACGTTTACCCATTTACAAACCTTGGCTGCACCTAACTTTTGTTTTTTTAAGCATGTTCCTAACCAAAAATACCCAGACCTCTGGGAAAGCCCCTCTCCTCTCCCTCTGAGGTCTTTCCTTGCCGACCCCTGCCTGCCCACCCGCCTCTCCTAGGTAGGAACAGGGACGGTCCTCCGGAGTTGACCAAGGAGGCGTCGGAGCAGCAGGCATTTGCCCTTCTAGTTGGCAGCAGCGATGAGCCGCGTGCTCCACGCTCAGAGCAGGGGCAGACGCCTGGGGAAGGGGCGCCCGGGACCCCGCTCGCCGCCCAGCCCCGCGCCCCACGCCCCAAGCCCCACGCCGGGGTCCTTTACCTCCATGTCCTTCAGGTGCCGACTCTGCTGCTGACGCGCCCGCTCGCTCGGGCAGGAGCTCGCGATCCCCGCTGTCCTCTCGGCTCCCGGCCGGGGCCAGGTTTGGGCTGCGGCTGGCACAGGGCGAGTGGGCGGCGGCGCGCGCCCGGCTGCGCTAGGCTGCGGGACTGCCCCGGCCGCGGGGGCCCTGCGCGAGAGAACGAGGAAGGAGGAGGAGGGAGGGAGGAGAGGGGAGGGTGGGGAGCGGGGAGGGAGGCCGACGATCAGGGTTTAAATTTAGACGCAAATCTAAACAGATACTGTCCCTCCCAGGGCAGGACTCAAGAGCAGGAGCCACAACTCCATGTGCCCAAACATGGGGATGGGCAGCCGCAGGGCCCCTCTTTCTCGCGAAGTTTCTCAGGACTCTGGGCTTTGCCACGGTCTCAGTCCTTCTCAACCTTTCGCTCCCTTAATGGGTCTTCTTTTTTTCCCCTCCCCGCCAAGAATGAGTGGTCCTTTAATTCTTTTTATTTCCCCTCTTTTCGATTTCCTTCTTCTTTGTCCATCCTTCCTGCTTTCCTTCTTCCGCTGCCTCTTTTTACAATTGCATTACTGTCATACCTGGTTCCCCTGCAGTTCTTGGGTGGAGTTCGAGGACCCTCCCTGCTGGAAGGCGTCTACGTTCTCCCAAAAGAGGAGCCCTTCAGACAGAGGCTTCAGCGCTCAGCGTGGCGCGGACAGGGACCACCTTTCCCTTCACACCTCTTTTCCTCTCCGCCTTCCAGGAAACCACTATCTGTCCATCTATCTATTTATCACCTGTGTATGACGAGAAAAATGAGGAATCCACATAAAGTTTTTCAAGCTCCCTGAAGTGGTAAATCTTTTCTTCAAACCTTGCTTTGACGGCTACATTCGATTTTGTGGGAATTTTGGCTCCCACAAGCTGCTTGCTAAAGGGCCTCGTCTCCATTCCTTTTAAATATAGTTAAGGGCAAGATGCGCAACATCTGATTCCCATAGGGCTCAGCATAGCAACCCTCCTTCAGGGCCATCCTGGCTGGGCAGCAAAGAGGCCGCGGGGGAGGGATGCGGGGACTGGAATCTGCACTAGGGTCGTTCCGCGCTACCGGTTTATATGCTGTCCTCTGGCCCTGCGTGATACTTCGGATCTCTGCCCCTTTGGGACCCTTCCGCAGGGAGAAATGGGAAAATCCCTTCAGAGACTAGTGAGTGGCAGGGTATCGGCTGGGTGTATGAGCCTCTGGGTCATCCCACAACATTCTCACCTGCCCAACCCCAACTCAACCAGGGGAGGGGAGCCCCATCACAGAGATGGGCAATAAGACAGGTGATGGTGAGCACTGTGAAGAGATGGGGAGAAACAGTGAAGAAAACAGGCTGAGTCTGCTCCTGCTACAAAGGCTGCCCTGATTCTGCTTCTCCCGGCACCATCTGTGCACTTTCAGGCATTTAGATTGCTGATTTGGGTCCCAGTATTAGAAATATGGCCTCCTTCCTGTCCTAGAACTTTCTAAGGCCCAACTTTCTAAAGCACCGGCAACCTTAGTGCCAGGGTGGCTTCTAGTTCATTAGCTCTGCTGAGTATGGAGGAAGACCCCTGGTTTTAGAAACAGACAGACTGAGGGCTGAATTCCAGCTCTGCTACTTTCTAGCTGTATTTTCTTAAGTCAGTTAACCTCCCTGATTCTCATTTTCCTCACCTATGCAGTATAGTAGGCACTCTGCAAAGAGCGGCTGTTTCTATAATGCTTAGCCCCTTGTACAAGCTTCAGATGAATAAGAGCCTGATATTTCTTTTATTTAGAGTCAGGCACTCCGGGACCAGTAAAAACAGCCCTCACTCCCAGGAGTTAGTGGTGAGCCCCCTCCTAGCCCAGCCTCATGGCTGCACAAGTGAGGACTCTAGAGCAGAGTCGGCAGTAAGGAAGGGTATTTACTGGTAACTTGCAATGCACACTTTCGTAATTTTTTCCATTCTTCTTTTTAAAGGTGCAGGACATAGTGATGACTGCATAGTCTACTATCAGGTCTTCTAACTCTGCCCTGCAGGACCTTTTCCTTTCTCCCTCCACCCAGTCCTCCTTTGTGCTCAGAATGGGGCTGCCCCAGCACAGGTTTCTGGCTTCGCAAACAGGAGGGCGGAAGTGCTTACCCAGAGGAAACCGTTAGGCCCAGATAACATCAGTCACCTAAGGTGACTTGAAGCTGCTCCCCACGCCCTGCTTAGGCCTCCCTCAGCTGAGAACAGATGACCACAAAGCAAATAAGCTTGGCCTCCACCACGTTCCTGGGTCTTGGGTGGAGAGCGGGATGCTGCTCCAGAACTATTTGGGCCCCAGGCTGGGAATTCTCCTGAGGGAGGGGGTTGGAAAATGGGGAAGGAGGGACCAAGGTGTAGCCCTGAGCTGTGTTTAGGCAGCCATGAGTAGGTGTGCTGTGTGTATTCCTCTTATCTTTTTCTTCTGTCCCTACAGAAGAGCTCCAGGAGCCAGAATAGCAATAACTTCACTGATAAAACACCCGGGTTTGTAACTGGCTGCTCTGGGGGCTGGGAGGAGATGACAGCCCAAGGGAAAGGGAAAGTGACTTTCTGAGGAGTTAGTTTCCCTGCTTCTCTGGGGGTCTAACTAACATGGAACCACTTCCTTTACTCTGCCCCTGGGCTTTCCCCTTCATATACCCTGATAGCCAGAACCAGCCAAGCAATAAGTAGAGGTCTTCAGGTAACTAAGAATAAGAACACCAGGCTGGGCGTAGTAGCTCACACCTGTAATCCCAGCACTTTGAGAGGCTAAGGCGGGCAGATCACAAGGTCAGGAGTTCAAGATCAGCCTGGCCAACATGGTGAAACCCCATCTCTACTAAAAAAATACAAAAATTAGCTGGGCATGGTGGCATGTGCCTGTAAGCCCAGCTACTTGGGAAGAATTGCTTGAACCCAGGAGGCAGAGGCTGCAGTGAGTTGACATTGTGCCGCTGCACTCCAGCCTGGGTGACAGAGCAAGACTCTGTCTCAGAAAACAACAACAACAACAAACAAACAGGCCAGGTGTGGTGGCTCACACCTGTAATCCCAGCTACTTGGGAGGCTGAGGCAGGAGAATTGCTTGAACCTGGGAGGTGGAGGTTGCAGTGAGCTGAGATTGCGCCATTGCACTCCAGCCTGGGTGACAGAGTAAGACAGGTCTCAAAAAAAAGAATACCAGAAGCTGGGGTGGGTATGGTGGTGCCTGTAATCTCAGAATTTTGGGAGGCTGAGGTTGGAGGATCACTTGAGCCCAGAAGTTCATGACCAGCCTGGTAAATATAGTGAGACCTTGTCTACATAAAAAAAGAAAGAACAAAAGGCATTGCATAGGTGAGAGGGAGCGTGTGAGAGAGAGAGAGAGAGAGAAAGAGGGGTGGAAGGGAGCTGAACTCATCCTTTTATTAGGAACCTATTCTTTAGTTAACTAACCCACTCCTGAGACAATATCATTAATTTATGAGAGCAGAGCCCTCATAAACATGATCATCTCTTAAAGGTCCTATCTCAAAATATTGTTGCAGTGGGGAATAAGTTTCCAACACATAAACTTTGGAAGACACATTAAAGACATAGAAAATGGGCTGGGTGCGGTGACTCACACCTGTAATACCAGCACTTTGGGAGGCCAAGGTGGGTGGATTGCCTAAAGTCAGGAGTTAGAGACCAGCCTGACCAACATGGTGAAATCCCATCTCTACTAAAAATACAAAAGTTAGCCAGGTGTGGTAGTGTGCGCCTGTAATCCCAGCTACTCGGAAGCCTGAGGCAGGTAAATCAGTTGAACCTGGGAGGCAGGGGTTTCAATGAGCCGAGATCATTCCAGCCTAGGAGACAGAGTGAGACTCCATTTCAAAAAAAAGAAAAGAAAAGAGATAGAAAATGCCAACTAACACATGTAAAAAAAATGTTAGAAAATTTCCATCTAACAACCATCATAGTTAAATTAATTTTAGGAAAGAAACAAAGTTGTATGCTAAATCTATTGGGTAAAAGTGAGGTAAGGAATGAGGTTTTAAATAATTTAAACTAGCTGCCTACAAGTCACTGATTAATTACAATAAGGAGAAAAGAAACTTTAACAGACATCATATTACAAGTGACCAGGCCGGGCGCGGTGGCTCACACCTGTAATCCCAGCACTTTGGGAGGCCGAGGCGGGTGGATCACGAGGTCAAGAGATCAAGACCATCCTGGTCAACATGGTGAAATCCTGTCTCTACTAAAAATACAAAAGATTAGCCGGGCATGGTGGTGCGTGCCTGTAATCCCAGCTACTCAGGAGGCTGAGGCAGGAGAATTGCCTGAACCCAGGAGGCGGAGGTTGCGGTGAGCCGCGATCGCGCCATTGCACTCCAGCCTGGGTAACAAGAGCGAAACTCTGTCTCAAAAAAAAAAAAATACAAGTGACCAAAGTCAACATCCCCAGTAATGAAACAAATTGACGTCACATGATGGGATGTAATAAGAAATACACCATTATTTCTGTAATATTCTGGCCAAAAGGGCTTAATTTAAATCTAATCATGAGGAAACATTGGACAAACAAAATAGGAAGACCTTCCTCAAAATGACTGGACCATAATTTGCATAAGTGTCAATGTCAGGAAAGTCAAGGAAAGGCCAAGAACATGTTCTGGTTAAAGGAGACTAGCAAGACATAACTGGGTTAAATGAGTGGTTTGGGTAGGTTCGGTTAAGCCAAGCCTATTAAGGGAATTATTAGGATAATTGGCAGAACTGAAAGGAATTCTGAGTGGGAGAATGTATGGGAGTTCTTTGTGTTAACTTTACAACTTTTCTCAAAGTTTAAAATTATTTCAGGCTGGGCACAGTGGCTCATGCCTGTAATCTCAGCACTTGGGAGGCCAAGGCGGGAGGACTGCTTGAACTCAGGAGTTTGGGACTAGCCTGGGCAACATGGCAAGACCCTGTGTCTGCAAAAAATAAAAAATTAGCTGGGCATGGAGCTGTATTACAAATTGTAGTCCCAGCAACTTGGGAGGCTGAGGTAGGAGGATTGCTTGAGTGTGGGAGGTCAAGGCTACAGGGAACTGTGATCATGCCACTGTGCTCCAGCCTGGATGACAGAGTAAGACTCTGTCCGCCCCCCCAAAAAAAACCCAAATAAAATTATTTCAATTTTAAAATTTAAGCAAAAAGGTCGTTGCGGGGAGGAATTGAGCCCTCACACTGCTTTGATTCTGGACTGACTCCTGGGCCAGCCCTTTGTCACTCCCTCCTCCTTACCCCGCACAGAGAAGATCCACAGACAAGCTGGGGCGTGAGGGCACTGGCCAGGGAGACAGGCCCAGAGAGAGCCTCCTCTTCTGGAATAACAGAGAATGGAGACAGGAAGGGGAAGATTATTCAAATCTCTTTTGGTAAAAATAACTTTGCTTTGTTTCAGTGGTTACAGTAAACACGTGTATTTTCATAATTTGGGGGAGATATTTAATTTTTTAAAAAAGGAGAAAACAGAATTCTGAACTGGACTGAGGAAAGGGAGGCTGTGAGGATGGAGACTGCCCTCAGCTCAGGTGCTCTGAGGAAAGGGCTGGATGGTCTCCAGCCGAGGAGAAACGCCAGTGAGGGGTGGGGCCGGGAGAAGACTCTGGTCTAATAACTGAGGCTAAAAAACAGTGCTGATGGAAAACGAAGGGGATGACTTAGAGGTCCCAAAAGATCACAGTCTTTGCCTTCTAACACATTATCCCAGGTTTTAGGAATGAAATTAGGTAAATCCACCAAGGAAGCGTGAACCTTCTTAAACCTAAAAAGTATATCATGCAGAGCACCTGCACAGCAGTGAG